TAACAAAAATAACGAAATAAAGTACCTCTGAGATTCCATCAGTCCACTTCCCTCGCTCTCTCTACTCTCTTCCTCTTTTTCTTTTCGTAAACAACGCTTTTTTTTTATGACGGTCTGAATGCATGCACCACGGATTCGGGAAGAAAGGGTAAACGTGGCAGGTGGGAAAGATGCCTCATGCCTTGGGAACGGCGCAGAAAAACAATGCGTCATGCTTCTTTGCAAATTCAGCCTCTTCCCTGCAAAGCACACACTCACGCCCCCTCCTTTCCCATAACTACTTCTCCCGCACCCACCCCCGCCCACAACAATGCAGGTGGGAGATGAAGAGAAAGAGCTCCCAACCAGCGTGTTGTCGCGAAATTGAAAAATATGCCGAATAATCTTCCGGGCGGCTGGCCGGATCCTGAAATAACCTAAAGAAACCAAGCAAGTTAGGAAAAAAGGTTCGTTAGTTAATTGCTTCAGTGTTTTATTTTCATTCAATATAAAGAATTCTGTGCACCACTAGCATGGTCCTTTGTCCTCAGTTAGGATTTACATATTGTTACTTACGAGGTGGCAGACTTTGGTTTCCTCCAGCCACAAGACCCTGCCGCTCCCCTTCGCAAGTTCCACCCCTTCGCCAAATCCTGAATTGTAAACACACGACCGCGTGATATGCCGTCTGCGGGGTTTTCTGCAGACCGCACGTAACCAAAGGATGCTCGCACTCCGCGAGAGTCCAAAAACTCATATATCCGTTGCAGCTCCCACGTCATGGCGTGTGATTTTGAGCTGCCTTTATTCGCCGCTCCTCGCAGCGAAGTGCTGTCCACCCAAACGTCCATAGTGGATGGCAAAATGGCGGAAAAGGCCGATAAGGCCAGGCGTACTGCTCGTGCCTCGGCCTGCATGATAAGAAAAGGCTTCCTCTCCCATTTCCCTCCGGCAATTTTAACGTCGCCGGAGTCTGGAATTTAAACGGCTCCCCATCCATGGAGCGATGCGTCCGTGATGATGGCGGCCGATGCCTTTTCCGTGGAATTGATGATTCGCTTGCGATTGTTCTCGATGATGAGTCGTAGTCTCTCGCCCAAACCAACCGCTGCCGACGGAAGGTTCGCCGGGGATGTCTCCAGCACAATCCCCGGTTAACTGCGGATAATTGTCGTCGCACTGCCTTGATAAAAAAGTAGTGGTCACATAAACGCGTGCACAAAATGGCGGCCGCGTACAAAAAGCGTGACGCCACAACCTCCATTTCCGAGATGGTCAAAGAATTGAGCGCCGGCATGGCGCATACAGACAGGACAAACTTGTCACTCAGGGATACCGCCCGGTGTTGCCATGATCAAACCGCACTCCCAGGAAGGTGTAATGCGTGGCGCCCGATTCGCGATCCTCCAAGGATGCGTGACAACCGTCCGCATTACGAAGCACTTGGGCTTCCCACAATGTCGCATCGCTTTTCGACCCTGCAATGCGTATATTATAGATCCAAACGCCGACACGCACCGATGGAGGTGCAGCCCAGAGGGGGCGAACCACCGTCGTCACCACCGCAATTGCTGAGGTAATAATCTGGAGAATTTCTGGGCCGGCCTTGCATCCCATTGGATGCCGTGTCAGCTCCACCAGTGTGCCGTCCTCCACGTGGCATCGAAAGAAATGCCGAGTCTCCCGCGGTAAAGAGACTCGGAAAAAAGGATGTCTAAATCCAGGCAGGAAGCGGCCTCAGCCATCGCAGGTGGCAAATAATGGGAAATGTGTAAAAGAGGAACATTCGCCTCATAAGGGTCCTCTCTGTTCTTGTCGCGTGGCCACGCGATCCATCGTCGTCGTAAGCCGGTGGTTTTCTCCTCCACAACCAAAAAAGGGGCATTATCCATCCGCCTGTTATTGTGGACGAACCGTCCTCGATTATTCTTGCTTTTCGTAACAATCTCGCGTCAGCGGTTGGAATCCTCCGTGAGCCTTCGCGCGCTTTACCGGAGGAAGACGGAGGGAGAGGGGACCGCCCGACGAGTCCCCAAACTTGCATGAGCCTCTCCAAGGTGGCCGGGTTCAACCGACTTTTAATCCACTCTAAGTTCAATACGGGCACGTTGACCTGCCGTAGCGGGATAGCGTGTTCATCTTGTGGAGTGGTCGGACGCGTCCTTGTGGCGCGTCTCGTTATTGTAGCAGCATGATTGTGATTAAAATCATGAAAAAACGCTCCTCTGCTCTCAGCCAGGGTTCTTGCCCTTCCGCAGCTTCTCCCTTCACATCAATACGACCCGCGACGATACCTGGGTCAGCATTGTGGTGTACTTCCCCAAATATCGAACAGTATTCTGGGGAAGGTCGAACGGATCGACGTGCTTCGCCAACTGCGAGATCACGTGTGGATCCAAATTGTATGTCTCCACGATTTGAGCAGCGTGCCTCAACGCACCGCGTTTTATGGAATGCGCCGTGGCATCCCAAGGAGCCAAAGTTCGTTCGACTTTGGCATTAGTAATATTCGTGAGCCTTACGCTGCGACGGAGTGTCCCGCATAGCTTTATAATGTCGAACGCGTCCTGCCCTCGTCTCCTGTCGGACAGCGGGGCGCGGTGGGGATCCGCTTTCGCCGTCTTCGGCGCGACGGACCAATCCAAAACCATGACCCCGTTCGGCTTCAGTTTAAAATTGTTGGGTGTCAAGACCGCAATCTCAAACAAACGACTCGCCGTTACCCACGCGAGTCGTACGACAACACGTTCCTTCCAATCGGTCCGACCGCGGATTACTTGATTCATCTCTTCCTCTGTCAAGGGGCGCGCCTGCCTCGTCTGCTTCGTCTCCGATCGCGCCGCAACTTTTTGCAACCCCAGAATCACCATGTCCAGCGGGGTTCGATTCATTTCCAACATGGACCGCAGTATCCTGGCGTACTGCAGTCGGGTCGATGGCGCCACATCTAATATTGCCATCAAAAAGGCCGCACAGCTCTCCTCGTTCATCGTCCGTTCGTGCGTGCGGCAAAAGGTTGTGAATTGCCCCGCTAGGGACATTCCACGCTCCCAAGTTGGCAGCGCACACATCTCTCGAGCGACCTCGTTCGCTCTCCTCATATAACTGGCCCAAAGCGGGGATGTCGGTGTTTCGTCGTACCACAGTCGAGCGTCGTTTACGGATAAGCTCCATTGCCCTTCCCGACGATTGCGTCGGGCAATTTGAAAGATCGGGTGGAGCATCGGCGGCGCGGTGCGCTGCCTGTGCGGATTGGTGGGAGGTGGCGGATTCGATGGCGCTCCCGTCGTCAGCATTCATGAGCGGCGTGCGGCAGCCCCTCTGCCGTTTTTTGATGGACACCTATAATATAATTAATTCCCTCTCGGACGCACATTGCATGTAGATGCCTCGTGTCCATAGGTATGACAACGTTGGCATCGCAAAGTGCGTTGGGTTTCTCGCCGATCCACGAGAGGCTGAGCTGCCCTGGCATAAGCGTCCGCCTGGTGAACAGCAGTGTGTAGACGGGCACGCCGTTTGGAAAGCCGGATGCCGGGATCGGATGCAATCATGAGCTGCATCCGGAATGTATTCCGTAGGGACCTGCCAAAATCATGAAGCGATCGATGGGATCCTGCAGGCCTTCCAGCACGCCGATCCACTCGACCAAATTGTCAACGGCAATTTTAACCTGCTCGTCGTCCTGTTGCCAGCATTGGTATGCGCACCGGAAATCGAAAACGACTCCGGAGGCGCCCTCATTCCATACACGCGTGGGCCACGTGGTGACGTCGAATGCGCAGAAACTGCGGTCCTCTTCCATGGGTAATTGGGCGTCCAGGGGAGAAGTGCGGGAAGGCAGCGGCGTGGAAGGGTGGAAATGTGGTCTCCCAACATTGCCGTGAGGGCGTCTGTAAGCCGCCGAACTGCGTCGGGCCGCGCTGCTAGGCACGCCTCCAGCCATCAAGATATCCGTCTGATGCGGTAGTGTAGTTACGCCATCGTTGGCAGCGTGTCGAGTAGCGGGAGACTTGCCCCGCCCCGCCGTCTCCGCATCCCGCACGGGTTGTTGTGCATTATGGCATGCCTCCCGTTCCTGGAGTTGAGCAGTGAGGACTCCCAAGTTGAATTCGCGCTCCCGTAATTGGGCGTGAGCGGCCTCCAACTGCTGTTGTAGTTCTAGGACCAGGTTGTCGGCCCCGGCGATAGTGGATTCCCTTACCGATAGGTTGTGATGCGCCTCCTGAAACTGCGAGTTAAGCCGAGCATTCCGATTCTGCACGTCCGCGACGGCGTTTGCGTAATCAATATTCAGGCGTTCCCTTTCAGCAGTGATGAGCCCTTGTTGGTGCCCCAACTCCCGGGCTGCCCCCATAGCGGGCAGGAGCGCTTGTGTCTCAAAATTAGGGATCTGAGGCGCCCGTAGATCCGCAATATGTCCAATAAGAGTAGAATCCTGCCATGCTTTAGAGATGGGTCCATGGAACAGGCATAAGCCTGTGGAAGATGCGGCCACAGTTAACGTCTCATCCGACATCTGGTTGCCATTAATGAACGTCATCTGCACCTGGATCTCGCCACATTGGCACACCATGTCCCAGAGACGGGCGCCAATATCACACCACTCGGAGGGTGTGTAGGGAACCAATGCCATTTACTTAAACTTATCTGGCTGTCTGTAAAAAACAAAATACACTGGCCTCTATCGGTTCCCTGCCCCTACAAAGTCGCGTTCTTCCCAAAAGATTCATATGGTAGAAAGTATCATAAAGAATGCATTCATTTATCAGGATGTACACATACATTAATTAAGTTAGCCAGCTCTCCCGCGATCATTCTTCTCACAAGCTCCTATTAAAAAAATAAGAAAACAAAAGGAAAAAAACGTAGTACAATAAAAGTAACAAAAACAAAAACAAAAAAAAACCAGTGTCACAAT